TAAAACTGCATACATCTTCCTGCAGGCAAGAGGACGTGAAATACAGAGAAACATCCACTTACAATTTTCCAGATCTCAGTGCATGGTAAATCCATGTCTGTGTCCAATACAGAAGTAACACAACGCAAATGTGAATGGTGCATGAATGACAATTCTCTTCAAGACATGTAGTCTGAATTCATGCGTGAGTAAAGGAGGCCTTTCTCACCATCCAGGCTCATAGCAGTGAGCTGCAGTCAGAATCCATTGGTCACTGATCAGAGAGCCACCACAGAAGAAACTATGAGTGCCATTAGTGACATTCAGTTTCACATGGTAATGACGCTCGCCTTGTCCACACTGTGTGCCACCAATGATTCTCTTCTGCAGATCCACCGCTGTGCTCACTGCCACACCTGAAAGAGGAATCCCCCCACCAGGTGGCTGAGAGTAAGAACTGTGGCAGTTTTTCTTCAGTAGAATACACCTCATGTGCTCTCAGTAAAACAGAAACATTTGTCCTTACTAAGGCTTGATTAGACTCCCTTGAGGACATGCATACAGGCATCTGCAGACACTACCACTGTGTATTTGTTAAACTACTTCCTATTGGAGTCATGAAAGCTTTCATTCCATTCCATAGTCGGTCAGTATCTACATATTTGGTGCATGAACAAGCATGCATACTTTTGCATTTAGCCAGTAGTCTAAGCTCTGTGACAAATTTTGGGTTGCATGCGAATGTCTATGGAGAGGTCCACATGGGCTCTTGTAGACTTCCATAGATGATGAAATCTGAGTCATGTGAGCCCTCGTGGAACGTATTACACCAGACATAGGAGAATAGGCAATATGGCTCATGTATATAACTGAACCTGATAAAGGGCAGAACTCTTCTGAAAAAAATCTTTGTAAAAGCCATTTTACATTTAAGATAAAGGTTTTCCAGCAATCCTGTTGTATATGTCGGTTTTGATCTGTAGTTCAACATCAGCTAAATGAATGTCATCATATGTACAAATGTAATAAAGAAGTTCAGGGACTGGCTGGGAAAGCTGGACCTTCATGAGTGTTCCAAATGCACTGAGGAACCTGTTTCATGACTGTTTTTTTTGTAAAGAAAAGTACCTACTCCAGATTAGAAATGTCTGACAGGAGCTGAAACACAACTGTGTGGCTCTTGAACTCAGAGAGAATAGCCGGTGTCATTTTTCTATATTAGGTAATCTTCTTCTCCTTCGTAACATTGCCATGTTAAACATAAAGTTCACCGTAGCTAACATAACAAATGTCCATTGTTCTAATTCTTATGTGCTCATAGAAATGGAGTCACGTCCAGTATCTGCTATTTTTTGTTGTTTTGGTGCATTTGGAGTTAAGTTCAGTCAAAACTGTTGGATACTGAAGTCAGTTTATTTCTTTCTTATTACCAACTTGCTAAAGTAACTACAGGTAGTCCAAGCTGACCAATAACAGTTCTTGCAATTTCCAAAGTTTCGTATAAACATAATTACCGATTACATGCAGTCTTAATCTCCAAAATAAAAACCTAGTGCATGTATTCCTTTCCTCATAAAAGATCCATTTTGGTCATTGTTTACACATCTTTTCTTGCTGGCAGCTTTCTGCATTGCATCAACTGTTTGCCTGAATATATTGCTGCATAGATGTATGAGGTTTGATGCAGCTAAATGCATTTGCAGCTTTGTAGATTTTAGGATACATCAATGGGTGGATGGATCAGAGAGCCTCCAGAAATACCAGGAGCCCCAATAGGATTTGACGACATACTGACTATTTGTAGATTCACAATCTTTACCATTAAAAATTATCTTTGCAAATCCATCACTGACACGTAAAAGAGAAAATCCTCCACCGGGTGATTTTGAATAAGATCAGTAGTTGTTTGTACTCAGAAAGCAGCACATTTACCATGAAGAGATGAAACAGGTGAGTGTCCAGCAGAGAGCCAAGCACCTACTTATCACACTCCAAGAAACAATTGCATACCTTTGTTATTACAAATTAAAATGATCAGCTGCATGTTTCATTCCATCACATTTGAAATGGAGGTATTTACAATCAATAATTAGTTAAGCTCTGAGGACTGCAGGCAGCCAAGGCATTTGATGTTAACCTCCTTTCTAATCTGATGAGACAACAATAAGTCCCTTGTCCATAACAAGGTCCCAGGGCATAATAAAATTAATGATGTCATCTGACTTAAAATCTTACTCAAGTCATCTACTTAAAGACAGTTTCAGTTAAACATATAAAGTAATTTTCCCAAAATATACAGACGATCAGTAACAGCATGGTCTACTTGATAGAAAAATGTAATCATGGTACCCACCGATCCACAGCGCAAGGAGAAGAAAGGTGAGACGAGCCA